GTTAGCTCCTGTGTGATCGCAATAAAGTTAAGTGAAAAAGGGACCATATGCAACGTTGGGTTAGCGTTCCACCGGTGAGGGACCCAGACGGCGAACTTAGGTGGGTATAATTTGCTTCATCAAGTACGAACAAAAAAAAAACCCTTGCGGCATGAGTTAGAGGGGAGTGGGAGGAAGGCAGGTGATCATGTTTTTCCTAGAGTGGAGCTTTAATAGGATCCCTGTTATCCTTTTCTCTGCAGCACACCCAGGACTGTGAACAAATCTTTAAACTGAGCTTTCCAGTTCCATCTGTGGAGGAGACGTCACATTCTGTAGATGAGATGGGGCAATAAACAGAAGACTGCAGAGGACAGATATAATGGAGGGGCAGAGTCTGTAGATGAGATGGGGCAATAAACAGAAGACTGCAGAGGGCAGATATAATGGAGGGGCAGAGGCTGTCAAAGACATGAAGCAATAAAAAGAAGACAGTGGGAGGCAGATGCAATGGAGGAGCCGATTTTGTAAAACAGATAGGGCAATAAACAGAAGACCATGGGCAGCACATATAATAGAGGGGCAGATTCTGTAGAAGAGATGAGGCAATAAACAGAAGACATTGGGGGCAGATAACATACATACACGCAATAGGTTGAACTTGATGGACCTGTGTCTTTATTCAACCTCAAATACTATGTAACTAGATATAATGGAGCTGCAGATTCTGTAGAAGAGATGGGGTAATAACCAGAACATAATGGGGGGGGGGGGATATAATAGAGAGGAATACTTACCTTATACAGTACCTCTCTTTCCTGGCAGCCGACTCCCTTATTTGCTCCTGCTCCAGCCCCAGAATGTGGATGGGCATGACATCCTCATATACAATGCACAGCAAATATCAATAGCATGCGGCACACAAAAAGGAAATGTTTGTCTTACTTTACAGGGTTAAGGGAGTAATCTAGTTTATCCTTTTTAAAATTTAATTTTTCATCAAAGTCTGCTTTTATATAACTGTTAGAAATGGGCAGCATGCAATCTAAAGTAATTTACACCGTTAGTAAGGGGTGCATGGGAGGATGACTACTGCTGGACAAAGAGTTTGTAACTTCTCAGTGGAAGAAGTTGCTCCAAAGCTGTAGCTCAGACAAAATAATTAATTGGCATTATATTGCTCTTTTTATTTATTTTCTACTTTTTTTTTTTCTATTATGCTACAGACGTCTGCCAAGGGAGATGAAATTGCTAAGGATTTAACAGATTTAGGTGAAACTTTGCACACTAATACATCTTTAATTCAGACCAAGGTAAGTGTATTTTGTGCTACACAGTATATGGGCTACATGAGGGCTCTCCAGATCTGTTCTGGAGCAATGATACTCCCTCCGTTTAAAGGGTTGGCCCTACCTTGTCTGGTGTTCCTTTTTGGGGTGATCTCTGGGAACATCTGTGGCATACTATTAGATCAGCGGTCGCCAACCGGTGGTCCGCGAGAACATTTTGTGGTCCCCGGGCCCCTCTGATGCCGTGCAGGCTGGGCTGTCATTGAAGCGGCACGGATGCTCCGGGGCTGCCTCTCACTGACTCAAGCAGCGGCTGTCACAAGGAATGCGCAGCTCTCAGTACAGTGCGGGCTCTGCAGGAGGCGGGGCATCTCGTCAGTACCCGGACTGAGCAGGCTGGGAGACCTAGAAAAAGTGCAGAGAAGCCAGGTAATAGTGGCTTAGTGTGTGGGGAAGGGGAGGCACAGGGGTGGTTGAAGGCAGTGCTAAAGCTAGGGGGGATGTGCCCCGGGCACCGCCGGCAGGGCCAGTGGCAGATTTGATAGGGGAGGGGGGGGGGACAATTAATATCATTACTGGGCTGGGTATATATACACACTTTACCTGTCCTGCCAGTGATGGAGCTACCATGGTTGTCAGCCATTGCTGGAGCCCCTGGCATTGACTAATGCCCATGTAGTGACCTCTTACTGGGTACCTCTAACAAAAGAGGTGTTTGGATGCCTCCTTGTATACTGGAACAGGCAGTATAGACCTGTAATGCCTTACTGCAAGGCTTGCAGTAGCAAAGGTCTTCTTTATACATCCAACTACTGTACTTCAGTTTACAATTCAAGGTCAGTAGGTCAATGAATACAATGTCAATGAATACAGCATTTCTCTTGTTTCAGTTGGATGTGGCTCCAGGATGCAAGCAAGGCCGTATATTTTCCTATCAGCTGTTTTTGAAGAAGCCTTCAGCTGATGTCCCGATTTCCTTCCTTACTTTTTCGGGAAAGAAGAGTTTTTTTCAGTACAAACCAAATGCGTTTTAATTTTTAGATTGCCCAAGGCAAAGCCTGTCCTTTTTTTTGTTTTATTGAGGTGTATTACATATGCATAATATTTATACTACATTCTTTTTAACTGAACTTTAGATCTATGACATTTAACTTATTGCACTGTATATTCTGAAACGTTTCACCAATGCGTGCACTGAACGCAACAGCACAGGGTGATGGAGCACCATTGATAGATTGGTCAGTACACCCACAAAGAATATGGGGAATTCACTGGTGGGTTAGATCCCCAAGTGGCTTCTTGAATCTTTTAGGGTCACTGTGTTTTCCCCCCATTCATTCAACTAGTTGCTGCTGGAGGAGGGAGACACGTGGCAATGTAGGTCAAAGCTGAGAACTTGGATGCAGTTCTCACACTTACAGGCCTGTTTGAAAAGGATATACAAGGAACAAAGGTGATGCAGCAATTTCCGTTTACTGTTGTCAAAGCAATGAAGGAACATTTCTGCACTTTGCCCTTGACCATGACTTTTTGAATAAGCAAATGCGGATGTGGTCCCGCTGTGGCCTACAAAGAGGTTAGAGAGGGTAGATCCCTTTGCTATTGCACAAGGAGCCCCTAGAGTGGGTGTGTGGGGGTTATATAAAATGGAAATTAATTTAAGAATTTAGTGATGGTGCTGAACTCTGAACCCCACGGGCGTTTTTTCCCATTACCACAATAAGGTAGAACTGGTAGAGTCTCTCTTCTATACAGGTTGCTATCTTGCGCTCTCATTGAAAAACACGTCCTGATCATTTTTTGCGGGGAGCGAAGTTGAGCACGGCTATTTTAGAGAATAATAATATATCACTTCTGTCTTTTTTTGCTATTCATACTTTTACGTTCTTTCAGCTGGTCTGAAATTGTCAGGTAGTTGAGTGAAAACTTTGCACATTCCACCAATTGTAACCGTCTGTCATTGGCGGTAATCATATAACACTGATTGTAAATCATCTCATAAGCGAGCTGAACACATTGCACTTTCTAGCAACACATCTTGAATTCAGAAAAGTGGAAGTTTTTTCTGGCCCTGGTCCACTCTTCCAAAAAGTCCACCAATCGGGTTTCACCATTAAAACTGAACACCAGACAAAAACAATATTTGGGCATTAGCTGGGTACCAACAGCATACATCTAATGATGTGTTTTCGACTCATGGCTGCTTCATCCCTCACTCTGCAGCTCCTCCAGTTTTAAAGAATATAAGGCGTTCAATTATTGGACAAGGGGGGATCATGAAGTGATCACATAACATCTTGGTACCTAGTTAATGATCCAATAATGTTTTTGGCTGGAGTTCAGCTTTAGCACAAAAAATGATTTGACATAAGTAGACAGAGAACCAGCCTCGCATTGCCAAATAGGGTACATTGGCTAATCCATAATTTATTTTAAAAAGACCCCAAAATACTTATCTGACACACTAGGTCAACTCCTCTGAATCCCTCAACAACTGAAAAGGATATTGGGGTGGTCCTTAATTCAAATTAAGTTTTTTTTTTTTTTTTCCATCTGCCCATCAGTGGATGGCTAAATCCACTGATCTCTAGTTATAAACAGTCCACCAATCAGGTGGAGACCTCTTGTAGGGCATACTATGTCATTTTTGAAGACTTTGACAATCAGCATTAAAGGAGAATTATGAGGTGACTGAAAAATCACTCATAGTTCGAGTCGACCTGTGACAATGAAACTGTCACATGTCGGCTCAATAGATCGGGAAGTGAGCGAACACATGCCGTCGCTCGCTCACTTCTCGATAATCTCCCTGCAGAGAGCGGTGACTCTCAGTCACGGCACCCTGCAGGGATTCCACCCCCTCCCCGCTCCGATCCTCCAGCGCTGACTGGAGGAACAGACGGGGGTGGGCACAGCTGGCTGTGCCTCTAGATAGGCAGAGCCAGCTGTCACTCATGCAGCTGAGTGGATCTCGACAGTAATGTCGGGATCAGTCCTTACTGCGGCGGTCTCAGTATACCGCAAGCTGTAGCTCGTGATATACTGAGCTTTGGGTCACGGGAGGACGCTAATAAATGTCCTCCCGTGACCCTTAAGAGAACTATGGGGAACAACACTTACCCTGTAGTTCTCTTTTAAGAATAGACAATTGTTTGAGCAATTCCAGCTATAAAATATAGTTGCCCACCTGCTTTTCAGAAGTACTTACACATTAAGACTAAGAGGCTCTTCAGCACAAAGGCGACTGGGATTTGTTTGATGCTTCCCTCACTCTTTCTAAGAATGGTAGACAATTGGCTGTATTATTGACCTTGTGACTAAGGGTGGCCGTATATTGTTAGATTTTTGTTTGATCAGTTTTGTTGCTGCCATGAACGCTCGTCCGATTATACCCAGAATTCCCCATCAAGCATAGTCAAATGTTTATGTCGGAAATTGTTTATTAGCCATAATAGCCAATTTTTGCCGAACGACGGTAATATTCGTTTGACCTATGCAGAGAAAGTATTCATTTGACCCAGGCAGCTTTCCTTTTGCACATGTGCTGCGTTGTTGGGGAGATTTTGGACGAACGAAAACCCCACTGAGTCATCAAATTCCGTTCGGTCAGAGAACAATTTTCCAACCTGAATGTACGAAAAAATTTCGTTCACAAAAACTAAAAATCGGTGCTGCACCATCAACTGTTTGTTTCCAAACTAAAATCTAACAATGTATGGCCACCTTAAGAATGCAGACCATAAAAACCAAAAGTCAGAAAATGGGGTTGGAATGACAGCCAGGCAGGTGCATCTTAAAAAGCTTCCTGTGTCTCTCATGCCATTACTTTTCACACCAGAGATCAAACTTTTACCTATCTGAGGACTGGTCTGGGACATTAGAGAGCAATGTAGCTCTAAATGGGTCTTCTGCCTTGAAAAGAACATGGACTTTAATGTTTACAGGTACAAAACCTGCAATGTAAGTTTTAAGAGATGTGTTCTATGTTTTATAATACAATGGCATAAATAATAGTTTCGTATCATTGTCAGAACTGAATAGCTTCCTGTAATTCACTGGATGGTAGGACCTTATTATTGTGCTGCTGCTCCTTGACTATCCAATCAGCATTGTGGGAAAATGTTTTGACTGGTGATTAATCTGGTTAGGCTCGGCCTTAGGGATGTCTGAATTACAAAACATTCCGGAAAGAATTACAAATCCTTAGCTCGGTAGAACAATTCCTATATTACAGGGATCAATCACTACATGGTGGACTGAGGTCCAGATGCAGACCGAGCGATGGTTCTGTCCAGACCACAATTGCACACCTGTACTGGCTTATGGCTGGATAACAGTTGATGCACCAGCACAGGATGTGTCTGCTGCGGAGAGTCTCTGAAGCCGGTGCATCCACTGTTAGCCAGTCACCCATAAGTTAGTACAGGTGTGCAATTGTGGTCTGAACAGATCCATCGCATATCCTCTGCCAGCCAGCCATAACCCAGTACAGGTTCCTCCTTTCCTCTGCAGTCATAGGATGCTGGTGGTCCTAGCAACCAAACAACCAATGATGTCTCATGTGTGCCTTGTCCCCAGCTTTACAGGAGTAACTTCTTCCATCTTGATCTGCAGCCTGACCCTACTCCTGCCTTCTAAAGAAAGGTCTGGGGGCACTCTGATGAGGGTAACTAATCATAAGTTGTTCCCATCAATGCGCAGTTACTAATGTAAGGGGCACTCTGATGGGGACACCTAATGTAAGGGGGCACTGTGATGGGGAAACCCAATGTAAGGGTGCGCTTTGATGGGGACACCTAATGTAAGGGGGCGCCCTGATGGAGACATCTAATGTAAGCTAGTACTCTGAGTCATAGAACAAACATGATAGTTTAACCACTGCTCAACAAAAATGTACTCACCTGACCTCCTTGAATTTTAATTCAATACCCCTGCTATATATTACTTGTACATTTATCGGTTTGGCTGCGGTTTAGCCTGATTTCCTGCAATATTTATTCTACTCTGGATTGACTGAACACTATTACATCCTTAAAGTGTGCAACAGGGGTGTTGTCGTTGGCTATAGCTGGTGGCAGCTTTCCCAAGTTACTACGATCAGCAACTCCAGAAGGATTTACATTTTATATACACCAAAAATAAAGGCAGCCGTTCTGCAGGTTTAATAATATAGCTTTATTTAACAGTCGGCAACAATCTGTTGTAATTCTGAATTTTAGCAGCATTATTTCCATAGGAAACCTCTGATTTATAAATGTTAATACCAGCGCGCATACATAAAATATGTTTCGCCAGAGCTCTGCACAAAATTTAGCCTGGATATTTTTTTTTTTATTGAAGATTGACATCCAAATGTTCTAGAAAAAGAAAAGCAAGTTTATACAAAGCAATATGAAATAGGTAGATAGAGTCACTGAAAAACAAAACCCATCTAATAGCCAGTCATCAGAGCTGGGCAATTCTCTTCCAATGGACAGTGCTGGCTGATGACCTGGGAGCTCACACAACTTCAGTTGGTATACTTCTAAGATCAGCATCATTCTGGCCTTCAGAAGTCTTCCATAGTGCATGTTCTCTGTAGACAACCGCGATTATGGCTTTGAACGCGCCCCCATGTTTATTTTGCATGAGATTTTATTCCGAGAGGTTCTTGCTCGGAGACTTCGGCCCCATTCACACACGAATCGGCTGGGAGGACGCTAATAAATGTCCTCAGCTGCCGGGAAGGACAGGTGCTGCGTGTGATTAGTACGCAGCCCCGTCCTTCTCTATGGGGTTACGTGGCCGTACGCCCCCCCCCCCCATCTCAATTGCAGGTCCGTAGGGGTGCGGGTTTTCTGGCCAGGACGCATACAGGATCCATTCCGGCGGCATATGAATACAATGACCCCCACCCCTACAGACCTGCAATTGAGGTGAGCGTAGGGGGGGGCGTACGGCCACGTAACCCCATAGAGAAGGACGGGGCTGCGTACTAATCACACGCAGCACCTGTCCTTCCCGGCAGCTGCTTGGTACGGCCCCGCACGGAGCTGTACGTGCCGGCCGATTCGTGTGTGAATGGGGCCTTCATAATGAAACCTTTGGAATTCCTGGTTCTAATACATTGTGGCTTTTGCCATCACATTTGGCTGGTGTGCGAAGGTAAATCAAGCCTCCAATCCACTAGATTTACAGCAAAGCTCAGACTGGTAAGGGAGAAGCAGCAGAAGGAACC